GAAGGGGCAGAGAGAGAGGCAGGAAGAGACTCTCAAGCAGACTCCCCCCTGAGCACCAAGCCCAATGTGGGGGCTCGATCTCATGACCCCGAGATCATGACCCCCAGCTGAAATCAAGAGTCAGACACTTAACCAACTGAGCCACCCAGGCATCCCAAGAACACTTTATTTCATTTATAATTTTTTAAAATTAGAAATGGTACTACTTATCACGGCAGAAAACTTGGAAAACCGAAAACAGGGAGAAAACTGATCATTCATAATGATACTGCCTTAAGATAACCATTGTTAATTTTTTGGTAGAAGTCTTTACAATGTATTTTCATGCAATATATGTATATATTTCCTGTACAAAATCGATTCCACAAATAGTATTTAACCATCTTCTTTTTATAGGTATGTTATAAACATTTTCTCATATCAATAAATTTTACTCTAAAACTTCATCTCTAATGGCTGCAGAATAGTCCATAGCATAGTGTTTAAAACATGATAATACTTTTTAATGTGAGAATCAAGTGATTTGCTCATTCCAAAAAATCCAAACAGTGCAAAAAAATATAACAATTATAAAATTTATGTCAACCATAAGTCCACCTTCTGGAAATATACACTACTAATACACTATTTTAAATGTGATTATGCATGCTGTTTTGTGCCTTTCTTTTCCTTTAAAATTTTTTTTTACTTTTACTTTTTTCCAGTTTTATTGAGATATAATTGACATTCTTTCCTTTTAATAACAAACATCCTTTCAAGAACATGGAAATAGATTTACAGCAAAATTTTAAACTTTGTGTAATATTTCATTATGACTATAACAGGGTCATTGATGGGGGTTTTAGAAATGGAAAGGGGAAGGGTGCCTGGGTGGCTCAGTCGTTAAGTGTCTGCCTTGGGTTCAGGTCATGATCCCAGGGTCCTGGGATCGAGCCCCACATCGGGCTCCCTGCTCTGCGGTAAGCCTGCTTCTCCCTCTCCACTCCCCCTGCTTGTGTTCCCTCTCTCGGTCAAATAAATAAATAAAATCTTAAAAAAAAAAAAAGAAATGGGGGGGCGCCTGGGTGGCTCGGTTGGTTGAGCGACTGCCTTCGGCTCAGGTCATGATCCTGGAGTCCCGGGATCGAGTCCCACATCGGGCTTCCTGCTCAGTGGGGAGTCTGCTTCTCCCTCTGACCCTCTTCCCTCTCGTGCTTTCTATCTCTCATTCTCTCTCTCTCTCAAATAAATAAATAAAATCTTTAAAAAAAAAAAAAGAAATGGGAAGGGGAGGGAGTTCCTGGGTGGCTCAGTTGGTTAAGTGTCCAACTCTTGATTGTGGCTCAGGTCATGATTTCAGGGTTGTGAGATTGAGCTGCATGGGTGTGGGGGGTGTCTGCGCTCAGCAGGGAGTTTGGGGGAGATCCTCTCTCTCCTGCTCCCTCTGCCCCTCCTCCTGCTGGCGCATGTTCTTTCTCTCTCTCCCATATAAATAAATCTTAAAAAAAAAAAAAGGAAATGGAAGGGGGAAGACTTAAATTCTAGTCTGCTACTTAGAACTGTGCGATCCTAGATTAAATCACTGGTTGCTGTGAATCTCAATTGCTTAATGGAAATCATGAGGTCTACTTAGCAGTAGTAGTAAAGTTTTAGCAGGAACGGGCGGGGGTGGGGGCAAACTCAAATGTTTTTAGCATGCATGTCCTGAAGAGGACCAACTTTAATTCTTCAAAGTTCAGATAATATGGAATACTTTAGTTTGTGTCCAAATGGAATTTTTGTAGCCCTACCCAAAGTCACTCACATTGGGAAGCAGAAGAAAACAATACACTGAAGGCCAAAACGACAAGAAAAAAAGAAGGGAAGGAAGAAACAAAGATGAGAAGGAGAAAGAAAAGAAGAGGGGCCGCCTGGGTGGCTCAGTCGTTAAGCATCTGCCTTCGGCTCAGGTCATGATCCAGGGGTCCTGGGATCGAGCCCCGCATCGGGCTCCCTGCTCCGCGGGAAGCCTGCTTCTCCCTCTCCCACTCCGCCTGCTGTGTTCCTACTCTCACTGTCTCTCTCTGTCAAATAAATAAATAAAATCTTAAAAAAAAAAAAAGGAAGGAAGAAAGAGAAACCCATGAAGCAAACTAGACCCTCATCCATTGCTGATGGAAACGCAAATGGTGCAGCCACTTTGTCTTTTTCTTTTCTTTTTTTTTTAAGATTTTATTTATTTGACAGAGAGGCACAGCGAGAGAGGGAACACAAGCGGGGAGTGGGAGAGGGAGAAGCAAGCTTCCCACCGAGCAGGGAGCCTGACGTGGGACTTGATCCTAGGACCCTGGGACCATGACCCGAGCCTAAGGCAGACACCTAATGGACTAAACCACTCAGGAGCCCCGCGCAGCCACTTTGGAAAAGAGTCTAGCAATTCCTCGAGAGATTAAGTGGAGTTATTACCATATCAAGACAGGGAAACTGAAGGACTCCATAAAAATCTGCTTTTTGCTCCTTTTTCCTGCTTCTCCACCCCACTTTACACATGCCTTGTAAATAGCGTCCATCCTCCTTGTAAGGGACAAGGAGTAATGGTTCTCCAGAATAAATAACATCTAAAGAAGGACCAGGTGAGAATGACCAGGGAAGCTATCCTAATGCACATTCCAGACCACTGGAGCTAGACATCTGAATGCAAGACCCCCTGGTTCCAAGGAATGACACCTGGGCCCTTGTCTTTGTTCTAACTGGTTCCTGGATGCCTGAGAGAACCATACACCAGAACTCTGCCCTCAATAAACCCCCCAGGCCCCGAAGAAAGATGAGACTCACTCCTTTCCTTTCTGAGTCTCCTGGACACTCACTCTGTTAATTGCTTTCTCTTTATCTTCGATAGACTCTGCTTTCACTTCCTGCTGGCTCACGTTTGATATCCATCCTGTATGAAGCCAAGGACTGCCAGCCTGCTGGCATCGATATGAGCCAGCAATTTCAATTCTAGGTATATACCTAAGAGAAATGAAAACATACATCTATTAACTTGAACAGGAATCTTCATTGCAGCATTATTCCTAATAGCCAAAAAAGTGTAAACAACTAAAATGTCTATCAAAGGATGAATGAATTAATAGAATGATGTTATATATCCATGCAATGGTATATTTGACAATAAAAAGGAAGGAGTAGTGATACATGCTTACAACATGGATGAATCTTGAAAACACTATGCTCACTGAAAGAACTGTCATAAAAGACCACATACTATATGATTTATTTCATGTATATGAAATGTCTGGATTAAGCAAATCTATAGATAGAAAGTAGGTTAGTGATTACATAGCTCCTGGGGCTTGGGTGAAATGGGGGGACTGCCCACAGGTACAGGAATTCTTTTGGGACTGATGAAAATGTCTGAAATTGCGGTGGTAATTGCACAACTCTGTTAATGTACTAAAACCCGTTGAATTGGACACTTTAAATGGATGAAATGCATGGTATATGAATTCTATCTCAATAAAGCTGTTGGAATAAAAAGCAAACTAGGGCATTGTAATTCTGAAAGATCATAATAAGATGGTATATAAAGTGTTGGACAGATGAAGCCCTTAATAAATGGTGGCCATAACTCATTGAGGGAATTTAGTTTGTTTACATTTTCCTCACCATAATCAACATTTTATAAAGATCATTTTGGGGGCGCCTGGGTGGCTCAGTCGTTAAAGCGACTGCCTTTGGCTCTGGTCATGATCCCAGAATTCTGGGATCGAGCCCCGCAGGGAGCTCCCTGCTCTGCGGGGAAAGCCTGCTTCTCCCTCTCCCACTCCCCCTGCTTGTGTTCCCTATGTCTCTCTCTGTCCAAAAAAAAAAAAAAAAGATAATTTTGTATATAGCAAAGCAATACCGAATACTGTTGCAGGCTGTTTTCTTGCTGAACCTTTGGAGATGTAGATGTGCTGATGAGACGTTATGTACATTATTTTTAGGACCCTCTGTCCTCAGAAGGGCTGGGCCCATGGGCATTTCTTTGTGAGTATGGAGTGCCAGCAAAGCATCCTTTTTTAAAGTTTTTCTGTCAAAATGGTAATAAAACACACACATAAAATAGTCCTAGGATTTCCAAAGGCCTTGCTTTGGGAAAAGGTTTTGGTAGTTAAAATAGATATTCAAACTATCTCCAACACAATGCTTGGTAGAAAGCCATGCAAGATGACTCTGCTTTGATCCGTTTTGTGGAAATTTGCATGCATTGCCGAGGGGGAAAACGTGGTGTCCTGCTCAGTACCAAGTTTCCCTACTTCTAACAATGGGTATTAACGTAAACTCTCATGCAAGTTGTAAACACGTCTGACTCAAAACTAACTTCAATACTTAGCCTGACTTTTAACTAGCTGAAATGTTAACAGGTGGGGACAGGGCTCCAGCGAACTGTGTGAGGAGGTGTGGGACTGTGCGTTTGAGTGGAGAAGGCCACCGATTTAAATAAAAAAGTGCGAGATTAAAGAATTTGGAGGACAAAGTATGTACAATTTTAGGCTCCCTCCCCCGCCCAAAGGTTGTGCCAGTGGGCAACTGGAGCCCCCAAACTTGCTCTTCCCTCGTGAGGAAGTTAGTTCAGGGCTACCAGCACTTGCAAGAAGTTTAGGGGCAGAATGCCCGAGCGCCGCGGAAAGCAGATGAGTGGGGCAGGCGGCGGTCGGACAGTTCACGCCGGGGCGGCTGGAGGTACCCACCGGCCGGAGCAGGAAAAGCAGTGGGTACGGGAGGGCGGGGACATAGGGGTGGGTCAGCAAAGGTCTGGCGATTGTGTCGGGAGGCGAACCGGGCGTTGGCAGCGGCGGGCGGAGCCCAGGACCAGTGATGTAAGGAGCGGAGGGATCCCACCGGGAGCGTCGGGTTTGCGCTGTGGGACCCCAGGGGTGTGGGGCGGGGGATCCCAGTCCCCGCCCTGTTTTCCCCGCCCCTCCCCCTGCCGCCTTTACGCCCCTCCCCCCTCCTCCCCTCTGGTTGGAAAGTTTCTAGAATCTCTTCCCAGCGGCCTTTGCGGTTCCAACATGGCGGAGCTGACGGTGGAGGTTCGCGGCTCCAACGGGGCTTTCTACAAGGTACTGACCCTCTTGCCGCTTTGTCGGGTGTTCTGGGGGCTAAGGCAGGTTTGGGGGAGGGCTGGTGGTCCCGGAGAGTGAGGTTTGGAGTCGAAGAGGGCGGCCAGGCCGAAGCCCGGTGCTGCTGGGTTCCTCGCTTCTCCCCCCTCCACCCGCGGTTTAACGGTCTCGGGGGCCAGGGCTCCGTTATGTTTTGAAACAACACGTCGGACACTTCTTGCGTTTTCTACTTATGAACCTTCTTCTTGGATGCTAGTGCGGCCCTTCGCGGGCCGGTGAGGAGAAGCCGAATCTCTGCTTGGGCCGCGGGGAGCTCCCTGGGAGCAGGCCTGAGCGGCGGGAGGTTGGGGAGTCGTGAAAGGAGGTGGTGGGATTGTGTGGTCACAGCCGCTCCCCCGCCCCTCGGACTGGGCCGAGCGGGAGCGCCTCGGCCCGCTGCTCCGACCCCTCCCCACCCCTTTGTGGGGGGGGGGGCTGCGTCGCGGAATCTTAAGAATTCACCTTTGTATTAGGGTCTGGGGATAATAAACTTTAGTGTCTGACGGGGAAGCGGGTGCCGAATTGAGGGTTAGGATCGAAGAGAAAACTGGAAAACCTTGTAATGTGGCGGGTTGAAATATTTTTGCGGCCTGGGAAATTGGGCGGCGCCTTAGCCCCTTTATTACGGAAGAAAAGGCTAGAGTTGGAGGCTTTAAAGTAAGATTGAAAAAAACGAAGTCGATCAGGGAGACTGGTGGGGAGGTGAGTAATTTCTTAAATCTTAGTTATCCAGTGTTTTTGGGAAGAACTGTTGATTTTTGTTTCTTCCCCACGAGGTTTTTTGTTTGTTTGCACCGGGAGATGAATTATTATGGGATGGGGACTGGAAAACAGAAGAGGAATTCGAGAGTAGAGGAATTTAGTGGGGGCTTCCAGTGTAGGGGTCACATAACTGAAAATGAAATTCTTAGAGTTTAGTTTTGCCATTATAACGGCCCCTTGTCCCGATTCTTTCTCCAAAAGTATACCACGATATTAAAAGATCAATACAAAATCTCCCCAGCTGTGTCTGTCAGTCAGTCTTACTAAGCCAGGATCTCAAATGTTTGAGAGTCCTGGCTATTTTTATGAAGGGCCTTCTCTTAATACAGGAGTATTGGGTGTACGCAGAATATATTCTCCCCGGGTTTCATTTCAGCGTACCTTTTGTCCCACGGGGTGGTCGTAATTTCCTTTTGTTAACGTTGTTTTCCCTTTTGTAGTTTACTGATAAGCTATGTGGATTTGGTTTAACTGTCACGTGGTAATAACCTGGTAGGGAATCACTTGGCGTCTAAAGGATCTCTCTAAGCTTTTTACAAGTTTAAGTCACCTTAGGTGGTCAACAAAAAGTAAAAACAGTGACTGCCCGGTGGAAAGGAGTCTTTGCTTGACTCCATATATATATTAGCAGTCTAGATTTAACATTTGGCGTCAAACAAAAGATCTAAGTGAAATTTGAGTAGATATTTCATTGACTTCTGTTATTGAAACCTAGTGGTTGCCTTCTCTTACCCTAGATATAGTTGTGGCACAATGCGCAAAGAAGGGCTTGCCATACTTTTCCTGTCAAGGGTAGGTAAGGTTCGTCATTTTTGCACACCGCCCGTGGAAAAGTTTCATATTCCCACTGTATGGTGATACAGTTGTTGCGTAACGGAGGTATGCTTTTTTTTCCCCTGGCAAATTGAAAAAGTAAAATTTTTTTGCCTTTGTAGCATGTGGATGGTAGATAGGACATGCCTTTTTTAGCCAAGTATTTGTGTTGATCGCTATAGAAAATACTTATTTCTTTTTTTTATTTTATAAGATTATTTAAGGTTATCAGTTTGAAAGTTTAAGATTGTTTATAGTTTTTTTTTTTTTAAGATTTTATTTATTTTGAGAGTGAGAGAGCATGAGCAGGGGCAGAGGGAGAGAGGGAGAAGCAGAGTCCCTGCTGAGCAGGGAGGCCGGCGCGGGGCTCCATCCGAGGACCCTGGGATCTTGACCTGAGCTGAAGGCAGACGCTTAACCAACTGAGCCATCCAGGTGCCTCTGTAGTGTTGGGTTTTTCAGTTTTTTAAAAATCAGATTGACAGTGATTGTCCCCATTTTGGAACTCTGAAGTATTGTTGAGCCTTATCCTTACTCTACAAATCTGCTTGATTCTGCTTAGACGTTGAGTCCATTACTCATTTTTACCTCACAAAGGAAGGTGGTACTTTGGCAAAGGTTGGGAAGGATCCTAGCCACATTGTGTGTGCTAAAATAATTGCACTTGAACGTTTGGAATTTTATGTCCTCTCGTAATCCACTTGTACATGTGGAAACTGGGGTCTTCAGAACTCTGAAAGATCGAGAATGGTGAGGCGGGAGGAGACCTGGATTTGAAGTTAGATAATGGTAAACTGAAAGTACAGACCTAGAATTCCCATGTGTTTACCCAACCGTGCACTCCTGAGCATATCTTTTCTGTAAAATGAAGGGTTTGAAGTAGTTCATATCCCCAGTTTTTAATCCCACGGAACTGCTCACTTGGAAAAAAAATTGGTTTACTGAACAAGCAATTTATTATTTTAACTACATGAATTGTGTTAGATTAATTTGCATGTGGTAAAATTCACCTTTCTGGTACATAATTACGTGAGCTTTCGTAAATGTCCTGTAACAACCACCAACACGATGGAGATAGAAGAGTTCCACTGTCCCCCAAATTTCTCTCATGCGCCTTTGTAGTCACCTCCTTTTTTCACCCCCAGATCCTAGAGGGTTTTCCTGTCCCCATAGTTTCACCTTTGCCAGAATGTCCTCTATGTAGATTCATACAGTATGCTGAGGGTTTTGATTCTGGCTTCTTTCATTTAGCATAGCAGCAATTTAATTTTAAGTAAAATTTTCTAATTTAAAAACAATAATATTGGTCAGTGAGGGCATTTTGGAAACAAAAGTTGCCTTTGGATAACAGCTGTTAACATTTTGGTTTATTCTCTCCTGGTGTTTTTTTTCGGTGTGCAGGTGATTCTGATTTTCCTCATTTTCTTCCCTTCCCCCCCACAAACACACACAGCTGTAAATGCTAATCGCAGTACAATTTCAGTCATGGGTTTAGTAGCCAGTATCATCATGCCTTGAGGCAGTGCTCTGTAGACATTAAAGATTTTTCTGGTGGAACTGAAACTTCATCTTACAAATTAATTGGAACCAGTGAAAAGCTAAAAGAAGATGTGACCTAAAATTAAGATCTTTTTTTTTTAAATACTGTTTTGCATCTTGCTTTTTTTTTAAACAACAGTGTATCTGTAGTTTGTTAAGGAGATAAAAACTTGATATGCTTCTCTTTGCAGCTCTGTAAATCTTTGGGGATTGGGAAGAGTGGGAGATAAGTACCTGATAGGGGATATAATTTTATATAAAAATATGTTTATAGCCTTTTTTACCTAGAGTGAGGCATCTTAGGGTTTATACTACTGGCCATTGAAGGTGCTTTTATTTAAGATAGAATTTACATTTTATGGTTGTTAGTGTATTTATAGAGTTGTGCAACCATTATCACAACCTTACTTTAGAACATTTCAATTACCCCCCAAAAACCCCTCTGCCCATTTGGAGTCTTTAAAATGCTTAACAATTGATGTATATGATACTGAGCTTTGTAATAGCATTGCAACTTGCATAGCCATGGGCAGAATATAATTTAAATAGAAGTTGAAAGTAAATCCCTCGATTTCTGGCTGATGTAAAGGAAAGTTTACATGGTGTTCCAAGGAAATGTGTAATCTCTAAGATGGCTGAATGAAATTTCAGGCCTTCTCTAGAAGACAATTACTTTTGGAGTTCTGCAATTTCAGCTTTGACTGACTACAAATTTTAAAGCACTACAATATTTCCAAAATTTCCTATTATTTACCTTAACTTAATATTAAAATGGAATTTGAGTGTAAATTATGCAGTAGGTTTATTAACATTAATGATGATGACCCATCGAGTTTTAGTAGAGTTTCTTGAGAGAGTACTGACTTTTCAAAGTTAGCATTGAATATTGATTTCTTTGTGCAGATTAGTAATTAAGAAAAAGATAGTGGTTGTCTTAATACTAGGGACACTGTTAAAAACACGTTTCAGATATTTTAAAGATAATTCTCAGTTGTACATTTTTTTGTTGAAATATTTTTTTAGCGAAAGATTTAACTTAATATTGTACATATGGGGAGTCCACACACGGAAATTCCAAAGATAGCCCTAATCATGCAGGTTTTAAAATGTGTTTTTATAAAAACATAAAAGAACTAAGATTTAACTGAAAAGGTCATTGAATTTTTAAAAATTAAACTTTTTTGTAAAGTTTTGTTTTTGTATTATAAAAGCAATATGTAAGTATGAAAAAATCTGAAAACAGAAAAGCAACAAAAAAATTTTACCTACCAAGAGATATATTGTCAAGGCCTGGCTTTATGTATGTACAGAAAACATACTTTTTCCCATATTTTCATGTGCCTTTGTTTCTTGTAACATCAGATATTTGTGTGCATTCTGTAAGATAATAGTTTGCTGTGTCTCTTATTTACTAGATAGCCTGTGAAGCTTATACTAATGTTTTTGTTCGTTCAAAAACTCCATGAGATACTTTTTTTTTAAAGATTTCATTTATTTGACAGAGACACAGCGAGAGAAGGAACACAAGCAGGGGGAGTGGGAGAGAGAGAAGCAGGCTTCTCGCAGAGCAGGGAAGTTTTACATACTAGGAAACTGACAATAACAAGTAACTTGTCCATAAATAAACTAGCTGAAATGAGATTTAACTCTAGGGCTTCTCACTTCCAATGCCTAATTTAGTATAGCATTAGACGTTCTTCAAAGGAAATCTCAGAGTAGTGGGCTTATACTTAACGTATTTTAGTTAGACAAGGCAGGGTGCCTGGATGGTTCAGTCTGTTAAGTGCCTTTGGCTCAGGTCATGATCTCGGTCCTGGGATCCAGCCCCTTGTCAGGCTCTCTTCTCA